GTATTTTTAGTAGAGACAGGGTTTCACCATGTTAACCAGGATGGTCTCAATCTCCTGACCTCGTGATCCACCCGTCTCGGCCTCCTAAAGTGCTGGGATTACAGGCGTGAGCCACTGCGCCCGGTAAAAAAAAAAAATTTTCAGGGCCAGATTTTAAGCTTTGCGGTTGAATCTCTATTGCAACTACACTATTCTACCATTGTAGCATAAAAGCAGCCACAGACAATATGTAAATGAATAGATGAGGCTGTGTTTTAATAAAACTTAATTTACAAAAAACAGACGGCGGGCCAGATTTGGCCTGAGGACTGTGTCTTCCCAACCTCTGCCTATTTTCAAATGAAACACCAAAAGGTTAAAATCTGGCCCCCAAATCTTACAGCTGATAAGAAAATAAAACTGGATTTGAACCTAAACTACCTCCAGAAAATGTACTTACCCTTAACCATAAAATTATACTATTTCTCAGGAAAAAAAAAATTAAAAAATCAACAGAGTGCTTTTGTAACTTTCTAGCTGTGTGATCACAGCATTTTAGGGTTTATAGAAGACTTAGGGAACCATCTAGCTTTAAATCTTCCAGGATCATATGATGGCCATGATCATGATAAAGACAAAAATGAACACTGTTCTCTGAGTGATTAATTCATAATCTTTTATATGTTTTATCTTGCTAAGTTCTTACAAAATCCTACGACTAGGCCCCTGTTTTGCAGAGGAAGTTTAAAAAGGGGAAGCCACAAGAGCTCTATTGTAAAACATGGTGATCATAGTTACATGGTAACAATGTATGTATTCTCAAAAACTGCTAAAAGAATAGGTTGTTAGTGTTCTCACCACAAAAAAAAAAAAAAAAAAAAAAAACTACACACACAGCAAAGCTGAGTATGTGAGGTAATGCAAATGTTAATTAGATCACTTGAGCCATTCTACAACGTATACATATTTCAAAACATGCTGTACAGAAAAAAATATCATATATATAGTTTGTATTTGTCAGTTTAAAAAATAAATGTAAATAAATTAAAAGGGGAAGTCACTTCAACAAGGTTTTACAGCAAGTAACGTGAAGAGCTGCGATTCAAGTGCAGATCAGTGCAGCAAACTCACTGCCCACCAAAAATTTAAGCCTCTTCCCCACCCTCAAATCCAGAGTATAGATTTGTCATGAGAAAGTGGCTTCCCAGAGACTACATTTCCCAACTACCCTTGCAGTTATGTGTTATCATGTGACTGAATCCTAGCCAATAGAGTGTGAGGGGAAGTGATATTCACCACTTCCTGGTGTGGCACATATTAACCTCCCACCGTGGGACTCAGCCATGTTCTTTTCCCCCTCCCGGTTGGTTGAAATGTGAAGAACACCAGGATGACCTTGGGAGTTGTGTATGGAAAAATGACAGAGCTTCCCTCAGCCTGACGGTGCAGGATAGACACTCTTCAGACCTGTTTGCTCACCCTCTACTGATACATAAGGAAAAAATAACTCCCACTGTGGCAAGCCTGTGACATTCTGGAGGTGATCCTAACAACCACTAATGTTACCCTATTTAATACCATCAGCCTGACACTCAGTCACTTTGCTAAATGGCCCTTGTATTGGAGGACAACTGAAATAGAGCTCATATTTTTCCTCTCTACACCATCACTGCTGACTAATGCCCTGCTCTCCATCTTCTTGTGGGACAAGATGGCTGGATTCATTAGGACCATGAGGTAATTTGGGTAAATTACCTACCTCAGGCTCAGTTCTGTTGATGCCTGTCAGGAATAGGAGGTGGGCCAGGAAGAGGCAGAGGGAGAACTGTAGGTGGAGGGAGGTGCTGGTGTTCTGGATGGACCGGCACAGGAGGAAGGTGAGGATGGCCAGGAAGAGGCACAGCAGAGAGATGGCCAG